AAAAAAAAAAAAAAAAAAAAAAAAAAAAAAAAAAAAGATCAGAATAAGACCTGAATAACGGTAAAGAGTTCACCTTAAGGTACACAAATTTAACACGTAAACTTTGTGCTTTTTCCGCCAACTACTTGAGTCCTTTTTTGTCTATTTGTGACTTAATAGTTCAGGATACAGAATAAGTAACCCCCAGATAAGGAAATATATTATGAATACTTAAATGTCAAAAGTACCCAAATGTATATAGGAATTTTAAATACATTCCAAAGCTAACGTATTACCTATATTGCACTATGATTACATATAGCAATGTGGATAAAAGGTACAGAAAGAAAAGAATGAGAGATACAGTATTCAGAAGAACCTCTCCTGGTTTTTTTCTAAGAAGCTTCAAGAAGAAACCTCTTGCTTCCACTACACTCATGGCTCTGTTGTTACAGTTGCTAGATTCTATGGTAAATAGACTACAACTATAAAATAAAAGGAATTAACATACATAATATTAGGAGATCCTAAGATTCTGAGCAGAAACCTGAGGAGGCAGCATATTTGAAGTTAAAATTGTAAGGATAAGCAATTCATTAATTAAAAAAAATCACAAAAGTAAAATCTAAATCGTTAATCTTGATATTAATCACATCTGGAAACAGTGAGGCACAGGGTTGAGAGTACAAGCTGTGAAGAATACTACCTGGATTCAAATCCAGCTCTGCCATTCACGAGGCTAAAAGATCTATCAATTTAGAATTATAATGGTATTTACTTTCATAAGATTTTCAATACAGATTAAATGAGAATAAAAGTACTTAGAACAGAGGTACAGAGTAAGTACACAATGAGTACTAGCTGCAGAGATGATAATTATTACTATTATTAACTTTTAAATTAAAGTTAAAGTTAATAATTTTTGTCCTAAAGTAGAGCATAAATGCTAAATCCTTCAAATAAAAAATTAGTGTACAAAATCAATAACAATACTTTATGTTTTGAAGTTTTGAAATTAAAAAAAAGTCTTCTAGTATTAAGTATGGGTCTTCCTCATGACCAGTGACACCCACTGGCAAGGCAGGAAACTGAAATTTGAACTTGTTATAAGAGTGCTTGTGCAATGGCCATTTTGTCATTTTCTTTATGATGTGACTTTCACTTCCTTATTCTATTTTCCATGTACTTCATTTATTATGTCAATATTTTGTTAATCTGAATGACAGAACCCTTCTTAAAATCTCTGTAGTTTAAATAATCTAAAAGACCTTAAAACATAAAAACTTTTAGAATTTTTAGTATTTTGTTACTAATGGCCCAAAAGAAGGTCTAAATTACTTTAACGGCTCTGCCTGAGGCCAAAATTTTCTCTCTCTCTCTCATTCTCACATGCATACACACACACACACACACACACACACACACACACACACAATTTTTTTTTTTAAAAGTACCTCTGAAACAAAATGCATTGAGTTTTGACTATTAACGCCATTCTCAATAACAAAAAGAAAAAACACGGCAACAAATATAATGTATAATCAAAACAGGACAGGAATATAAATATCTACATATATAGTTACATTCATTTGTATCCAACTGATTTAGAATCTACTATCCTGTTTCAGAATTCTTATCAAGTTAAAAGACTCAAAATAAGAATTTCCTATTTACTTTCAAGATATTACTTATACTGTGAATTTCAGCACAGTATCTATAGTATTTTAAAAATATGGGTTTATGAATATTAAGTGTATTTAATGACCAAAAAATCAGGCTCTCAAGTCTAGCAATTCTCATAAACATAAAAGTTTTTTAGTGTATAGTTTAGTTAAGTTATAAAGACCCATAGCAGATAGGGAATAACTGCAATTAACTCAGTTCAATTAATAATGTTTTCAATACTTTTAAAAAGTGCTTTTTTTTTTTTCCTTTTTGTCTTTTTTCGTGTCCGGCAACAGATCACAACCCTCAGTGTCGGCGCCCATACCGGACCGGACCGGACC